AATACACCCACCTACCAAATTTGATCCGGATATCTGGAAAACTGAGACTAGATTACATACAAACAGACGGACAGACAGACAGACAGACAGACGGACAGACGGACAGACGGACATGGCTAAATCGACTCAGCTCGCCGTTCTGATCATTTAAGTATACATTTTAATGGGTCTATCTCTTCTTATTCTGGTACTTACAAACATCGGGCCGAAGTTATAATACCATTTCATGCTCACGAAAGGTATAAAAATAAAAATACTTGACATCCGCATTTGCATCCGCATCCGCTGATGTTAGCTTTTAAACATCCGCGGATGTTAGCTTTTAAACATCCGCATCCGCATTCGCATCCGCGGATGTTTAAAATTCCACATTCGCAACATCCCTATTACAAAGTATTGAGGATATGTAGGCGACATAAAAACTCGCAAACTTTGTAGACTTTAAGTCGGATTCGGTTTCGTCAAACCAATAACAAATAACCTCTTTTGTAACTAAATCATAAACTGTGAAATTATGTACAGCAAGCTTAGTTCTATAATACGCAGCACTGGCATTTAAATTTTGACACAGTAATTAGATGAATTTCGCCTTTTGTCGCATTTGCTTTTTCTTGTCTTGCTGAATTTTTTAGATCAATATGACAGTTGTGTTCCTGTTCGGAAATATTTCCGGTTTTGAAAGCAGTACAAGTATCGCACTCGTCTTTTTTAGGTTTATATAATGATAATTTTCTTCCGAGAATATGTATTCAAAACAACTTATGGAGACTACTGGCTCTGATAGCTCTGCGGCTTTATGCCTATATAGGTTATACAGTTTTGATTTTAATTCTATGAGTGACTCTAAATAAAATTTGCTAGATGATGCTCTGCAATAATGAGAAGGTATTTTTGGCAAAGTTGCGACACAGTTTTTTACAAATTGTTTCTTGTGATTATTCGCATTAGCGCGTTTCGTTGTAGAGACACACAAAACTGGTGAATTTATGAGTCATGACCGTACTGTCCAGGCTTTAATTCCTAAGGTAGTTAAAAACATGTTTTTGCAAACCCGCGTCATCTTTAAGGTAATAAGAGCAAAAATTTGATCTATTAGAACGCTTTTTTTTTTGTTGCTGAAACATGAACTAGCGTGCAAACGTATTTTTGTTTGTGTTGCCAATTCATTTCTTTCCAGAAGCTTTTGCAAATGTTTTCCCTTTTTTCTTCGTTAAATATATTACAATATAAAAGTTTACTCTC